CTGCTTCTGCTTCTTCTGCTCCTGGTTCTACTGCTTCTGCTTCTTCTGCTCCTGGTTCTTTTGGTTCTAGTTTTGTTTTTTTTACTTCTGCTCCTGCTGCTGTTCGTGATGGCGAAGACGACAACAAATGAATGTTATCCTGGTTTTAAAAAAACCTATTGTTTGTTGTCCCCAACATTGATTTTTTGTTATTGAGAAATAAAAAAGAAAAGAAAAGAAATCTCAATAATTTTCAATTCATTCTGTTCCAAGTCAAAAAAATTTTTGAAGATTTTTGAAAAAAAAAAGAAATTCTTATTAAAAATGTATGCAACATTGAAATTATTTTAAAGTAATTATCTTGTTGGTGTATAAAACAAAACAAAATAGAATAACAAGAACTACTAGTAATAATGGAAAACCTAGATATTCTGGTATTTATCTATAAAATAAAAAATTTATTTTATTTGAAAATTTTACAATTCTTCCAATTTCTTTCTTAATGAGATAATATGTTATAATTCATCTTTAAAAAGGATATAGAGATCAAGTCCGAGTATGAGAAGAAAAAAAATAGACAATGCTTAGAAAATATTAAACAATAACATCGTTCTAATCAATGTCTCTTCGATCTTTAACATTTGACAATTGTTTGAGAACAGCATTACATTCTAATAATCAATACATTCATACTTTTTAGCGATCTGTTGATTTTCATTGATCATAAGAAATAACATCTTTACTATTATTCCTATCTTTATCTAATCAACAAAAAAAAAAGAAGTACATATCCTTCAATAAATATTTATTAATGATTTAGATAAGATAAAGAACAATATGAATTGTACTAAGTTATTTCATTTGTTTTACATCTGATTTGATGTCCTTTATATAATAAACGATAAATAGAAATTTCTAGAAATAACGAACAGATTTTATTTTCATTTGTTGAGATAAAAAGAAAGAATCGATTATTATGAGGAATTTCTTTTTGAATATTATCCGAAGATTCTGATGGTATTGATGATAAATAACGATTTTTAATCTTTTGTCATTCTTGATTAATATATGTTGAAAATTTGTATGAATATAACCAACAACAGAATCCACTGAAAGTCCAATAGATCCAATAACAATAATAGCTTCAATAATTCCTAATTTTCATTTTAATCCAGCAGATATTGCCATACTAATAGCTATAAAATAAATAATTCAAATCAAAATTATCTTCTAAAAGAATTTATTTATCTATAGAAAATGTCATTGTAATTAAAGCATAAAGTGCAATAAATAAATTGCCTGATGTAAGAAAAAATACAAGTAAAGTAATATCAAGCGATGCAATAAGAGATGATGAATAAGAACCAACAAGTAATTTACGTTGCACATCATAAAATGCAACAGCAGGAGATGAAAAATCATACATGTTGTAAATGTTTTGATACATTTTGTTTTATATATGGATGAAAGAAATTTTTTACTTGAAAATAATATGTATTATATGAATCATAATCAATAGGATTAAATGCACCTTTAAACAAAAATTTAATAGAATTTATTTAAAAAGAGAAAATTTTGTACTTCGGATGGTAATAATAATAACAGAAAATCGTCGAACACTATCATCTATTGGTAATGGTTTATTAGATAGAGATTGGGATGAAAACGCCAGAGTGTTCAGAATATCACTAAGGATATTTTTCATAGAAAAAGGTCCGAGAATTGTAATGAAACTGACCAGAAGTTTGTAATCGAATTTAAGAGAAAATCGTAACAGATTTGTTCTGATATCCATAACAATTATAAAGACTTTTCTTTCTTTTTTATAATCAAGAATACGTTTCATTCATATAGTACTATTGTGATTATATGAACAGGAGTCTCTCTTTCTCTATCTCTACTCTCAACACTATAATAACTGTCGAAGCTATTTGTTACTCATGCTTTATTCTGTTCATGAAGATGTTCTTTGTGTACCATCTTGAAATAAAAGACCTAGTGAACCACTTAACATCTCTTAAAGAAAAGTAAACATAAACATAATTCCGAACATCCTATCTTTTTCATTACGATCTCCAGACATTCACTACACTTATTTACCTTAACTTCCATTATAATCTCATTATTTTTATTATTACGATTTCTCGATCATCTTCATTCTGAACTTCGGGCAAAATTTCATGATTTTATCTGTAAAAATCGACTGTCACTATTCGTTACGACCTTCTGAACAATTTTCATTAGGAACACGTCCTATTTTTTTTTTAAATTTTTTGATTGATTTTTGTCATTCCGAACTTCCATACACATAATTCTGAACGCTCTGTCTTTTTTCTTATGTCCAGAAATCGTGACAAACGTATGTCATCGAAGATCGTAATGAAAGTTAATGCAAAATATCCTTTTCCTTATTTATATGATTTTGTATTTGATAAATTTTGTTTGGCACGATCATCAGCTATTTTTGATATGAAAACATTGTCTGTTGTTAGCTAAAAAGAAGGAGATAAGTTATTCTTAAGATTAAAGAAATAACAAAGTATTACTTGATAAAATGCTTCAAAATCTTTTTCTAAATCATAATTTGAACCAAATAAATCAGCTCACATTTCTAAATGTGTTACAAAATTGTTCAAAAAATTCTAATGTTGTTTGACGTTCTAAATAAATTGGTATTAAATGTAAATGATCACGATCATTCATATGAAATATATATCTATCATCAATATCACGTATACCAAATAGAAATTATACAGTTGGATATGCAAATAAATGTTTTTCTTCTTTTGAATAACCATTAAAATTATTTTTCATAGAAAATTCATAGATTTTCATTGAATTATCTTTTAAAAACAAAGCAACTTTTTGTATTGATGGAACTTTGTAATTTTGAATAATAAAAAACATCTACATGATCTAAATAAAAAAAAAGAGATTATATTGTCAAGATTTTATTAAAATTACTAACATAGAACACCCATAAGTAAAAAATAATATCACTAATAAACAACGTAAATTAATGATAATAAGAGGTATAAAATAACCAAATATATTATTTCGAATATCTCTACAAATAGTTGCAAGATGATAACATAATTTTGCTGATGAACCTGTTAATGATGTATTAACAACATTTGTTAAACGTATTGAAAGTATATGAGATATGATATTTTGAATATATTTTTCGTAAATGACCTATTATAGAAAAAATACATTATAAATAGATATGAGCGAGATGAGTCATTTTTTAGTCTCAGTCAGAAAAAAAATTTTTGGTCCCATTTTCGGTCCTGATCAGAAAAAAATTTTTGGTCTTAGTTTCGCACTTACTAATACATTTGTTAGCAAAAAAATTCGATATGATTTTCTAGCAATGTCAGTAATTTCGAGACATCTTGCTGGTATATCACAGTTGGACATGAGTGGGATCAGTAGTTTTTGATCTTGATCTGGTGAGAAAAAAAATTTTTAATCTCGCTCGAGGTCGACCGGGACCATCATGTCCATATCTAAGATAACTCTCCATTGAAACAAATTTATGTTGATCACGTTGACTTACAATTGATATTGAATAAATACGATAATTTCCATTAGAGTGTTCTTCCATATTTATGATTGCAATACAAAGACTAACATTATCTCGTTGAATACAAAGGTTTTTACTTATTTTTCTATGAAGTATTGTATCAAGTTCTGTTGCACGTAATAAGATCAAATAATAAGCTAAATAAAAAATAAAAAACATTAAATCATTTTTATCTATATTAGAAAATAAAGCTTGCATCAATTTAGCAGCTGGATAAAAATTAGCTACATCTCTAACTTCATACCAATCGTTTCTTCTACTCATATGAAGTACAAGTATCAATATTATCTTATGTGGCGAATAGATCTGTAAAGCAATTCTTTTATTCACACTATTACTAAATTACAGGATACAACTAATTTTTATTTACGAACTATTTTTTGATTGGATACTTATTTGAGAAAAAATCTTATTGAAATTCTATTCAAAATGAATTAAAATCGGATTGTTTCAATTTAATCATTTGTTTAGATGAGAATTTGTGAAAGACTGAACAATAATAGAAAGATTTTATTGTCTGGATCTTTTTCAGCAATTTCCGATGAATGTCATTCATATCATCTTTTACCACAAAATACATTGAAGTCCATTTCCAAATCATTTCACATATTATTTAAAGTTGATTTTCGTCAATAAAATGTTCTATACCATAAAAGAACTTTATTATGAAGGTTTTTCTTGAGTTTCCGCTCATTATCAGTTGAGAAAAGTTTCACTTTTCATATAAATAATTCTATTTAGATAAGTGTTTATTTTATATTGATTTATCTTGAAAAATGTTTTCATTATTATTATTATTATTATTATAGATTGATTAAATTATCGAATTAAGTTCTTCTTTTGTCTAATCAGAGAATAAAGAATTAAAGAAAAAAAGATATCTATAAAAACCGTTATGATATCGAACAAAGGAAGAACTTCATTTACGAGAAAAAAAGCAAATCCTCAATTCTAGAATGAGTTTATCAGTGTATACGGAAACTCGTCTCAGTCGTTCTAATTCTATCAAAGGCCATTAAAAAACAGTGAAATTCAACAAACTACAGTAATAGAGATACTCAATTCACAATGAGCTCAAATCAACAGAAGTAAGGCAGATTCTATTGTCTGTCGAAATCCTCTCAAATTGTGCGCTCTGATTTTGACCTTGTTCATTAATTTCTTTGGATCGAAGTAGTTGTTGCGATCTTTGAAATTCAATCAGATTGTCTTTTCTCTCATTCGATCAATTTCTATTAAAAAAATGGGTAAAGAGAAATATATTTAATAAAAGTTATTCGAAGGAAAAAATATGTATATATTGGTGATATAATACTACGACAGACACAAGCAGCGAAAATAATGTAAAGGATAAATAAAGTTTTTTTAATCAACAGTTTTATATCTAAGACCAAGATTAGGTTTCGGCATTTCATAATTGAAACCAATTGTTAGTGTCATTTTAACTATTTCATTTAAAACACATTCAACAAATTGTGTTGTTGTTGATGTACCACCAATGTTTGGAGTTTTTATTTTATGTTCTTGAATTGTATTTATAACAGCATTTTTTATAGTTGAACAATGTTGTTCCAATCTAAAAAGATTTTCTTTATTATATTAAATAAAAATATTTTATTGTTTACCCTAAATATTTGAGCATATTTGCAGCAGCAGCAAAAAGAATTCCAGATTGATTTGCAATATTTTTTCCAGCAATTTCTACACCTGTATTTCCTGTACCTTGTTCAAAAATGGCATAATAATCTCCATAATTAGAAATCAGCAACAAAACCTAATCCACCAACAAGACCAGCCCATACATTCGATACAATATTTTCATACAAATTTGGCATAACCATAACATCAAATTGTGTTGGTCGATTAACTAACTGCATACGTGTATTACTAACAATCATTGTGTTAAATTTTATATCGGGATATTCAGCAGCTACTTCACGACAACAATCAATAAATAAACCATCACTCAATTTCCTATTTTATTCAAAAATTATTTGAAGAAAAAAGTAAATCATATCTAATTTACATGATATTTGCTTTATGAACAGCTGTTACTTTCTTGCGATTATCATGTTTTGCAATTTCAAATGCAAAACGAGCTTTTTTAAGAGATTTTGCTCATGTTATGACTAGAAAAAAAGACATGATCACATTTCTACATAACATAAATAACAAAACTGACTTTTAAGACTTTCAACAACACTAGGAACTGACTAAAAAAGAAAAAGAAATTCAAATTCAAATGTCAAATATGTATGAATATACTAACGTTTCATGTTCAAGTGAACTATATTCCCCTCCAGTATTCTCACGAATAACGAGAATATCAATGTTTGAATGACGTGTAGATACACAACAGGATTTGTTTTACAACGAATTATATTTTACATATAAATCGAGACGAGTACTTTTTTATATAAAATAATAGTTTTAATCTTCTCAAGAATTTATTTGAAGAAAAATAAAATTTATCGTAGAAGAACATTAAGAGAAATCGTTGTATTTTGTGATGCAATATTACCTAGTTAACTTGAATAGATTTTTAATCATTTCGTTTGGAAAGAACTAACCTTTGAGAGCTACCCCATTACGTTTAACAGCCGTAACAGCTCTCTCAAACATTTCATCACTAGCTTACATGGCTCGATAATGGAATATCTTCAAAATCAATAGGTGCTCGTACACATCTAATTCGTTTATTCAATTATTCAATAAACAAAAAGAAAAATACACGCATTACCGAATAGCAACTTTAGCATGTTGCATAAGTTCGGGACCTACACTATCTTCATGTATTAATGTTACTGTATATTTGTCACCGTAAGCTGTTCGCCAAGGTGTACTCAGCTAAAAAATATTAATAAACATATATTGCAATGAAAATAAAACACATACATTAGTTGTCAACGATCGACGAAGTGGCACAATCGTTGAAAGTACACGACGACTATTGTTTTTTTATAATAGACTGCATTTTTTACAAATCTACATAGTCTATTTCTTTCACGCAATTTTCAAAAACTTATATGAAACGACAACAACAAGAAATAAACAGATCAGCAACTAATGAAAATTAATGTTTCATTCTCTCCTTTTCTATTGACTGACTATAAACAGTCCATTTACTTAGAAAATGACACAGATGTCATTCATTTACAAATGGATAGTGTCATTATATGGTATCACAAGTTCGATAGCCATTTATGAACAACTTTTTTTTTATTTGAGTTGGACACGATTGAGCAAACTGTGCTAAAAAAATCTTCAAAAGATCTGTACAAATATATTTTCCAAAAAAAACCTTCATCAATCTCACCAGATAAAGGCGCAGTTTTCTCTGAATTTTTTTGAAAAGTTTCCTATGCATAGATTGCTGTGATTAGATAGAGTATCATATGAAACCATACAAATAAGATAGAAAATTTCAATTGAATCATTCGAATTTAAAATCAATTGGATCTTAATGAAGAGAAGAAAAACTTTTTTTGAAAGCGATTCGAGCATGTCTTAAACTCGATTTGTGACATACATTCTTTTCAAAAGTTCACTTCTCTAAACGAATCGAAGCAAGTTATTTCTCTACTGATTTTAACTTTACTCTTTCATATCCATTGTCTTTATCTTTTCATATTAGTCCTTGATTTGTCATTGCATTCGAAATAATTGTTTCCTGTTAGTGTTTCTCTCCAAGCATCGTTTCTATGAAAATGAAAAAAGATCGATTTTAGTTTTAGTTGAAAAATAAAATGTCGAAGATTTATTTTTATAAAAAGCTCACATTTAATTTTAGAAAAATAACTCTGAAAAAAGTTAGAACTAACGAAAAAACTTTTGATATATTTGCTTACCTTGCACTTTATATAACCGGCAAAGCAAAACGTTTTTCTTTTATCTATATATTAAATCCCCTGGGTTCTTTTAAACTTAGTGGATGGGAGTTTTAGTTTCATATCTGACACTGATCCATATCCAACCTTAGAATCGTTCATTTTGTGACTAATATGAAAACAGCACAAGAGATTTAATCAATTGAGAAAAAACTTGAAAACGATTATCTAAATAATAATGAAAATCTCCGAAGTTTCTTTCGCATTTGTAAATGGAGACTTTTTCAGATGAAATCAATTTGAGATGCACCAACATTCTTTTTCTCTGAAATGAGATGCAAAACAAGTGATATCTCCTTTATTTTATTTTTTCATATGTTTAATTTTCTATTCAACAATTTACTTCTAATCAGTTTTATTTCCATAATTAATTATAAAAACAAATTTGCGTGTAAGGAAAATAGTCTTTGAGCTCTTGTTGAAGTGCAATTTGAGAAGGTGCAGAAAAATAAATAAACTCCTTACAATTGATTCCAGTTGCATCTCTTGTAAAATTATGTGTCACTCTCTGAACAGATTCATAGGCGACTTCCACCTTGAGCATTGTTCGAAAAGAAGTTTTGATATCCAATAGAAATTGCTCGGCATATTCATCATGAGCATCATTTAGATCAAGATGAGTAAGATAAGGATATTCAATAATTGATAAATGTCGATTATCATCTTTTGATTGTTCATCAAATTTGTTATTGTATAAAGTTAATTTTTGCATAAATGGAAAAGATTTGGCAATTTTCATAAAGAATTCATGTTCAAAAGGACGTTCGTCATATAATGAAACTTCACAAACAGATTTAAATAATCCACATGAAAAATTATTTGTAATAGATTCATAGTATGTTGCTTGGTATGGATATGAATAAACATGACATTGACCTTGTTGTTGAGCTGAGAAATAATCAATACATGAAATAACTTTATTATGTTTAAAATCTTTGAATGAAAGTTGACAACCTTTATTTGATGATAAAGAAATTTGTTCATTTAAAGATAGACATGAACGTATGTTAAATAGAAATTTATTTAATCGTAATAAATGATTGATAATATTCGATTTCAAATCATAGCCATCGATAAATCTTTTCTCAGACCAAACTACAAGATCTAAATCAAGTTCTTCGAGATTGAAAATTCGATGTAGAAGTGGCACGAATAATTCATTATAATAATGTGTATCCCATCTTGAATGGAGAGAAAATACTTTCAGATTGGGGAACACTGTCTAAAAAAAAATAAATCAATTTATTCGAATATCTATATATATAATGTTCAGCGTGTGTGTCTGCGCCGGGTCAAAGGTCAAGGATTAATGGTCAAACAAGGCTATAAGGGGAAGGTGCCAAGGGCTATTATATGGAGGTACCCATAGGTCCTCAAGGGCTGTTATGTAAAGGTACCCCTAGGTCCTCACGAGCTATCCCAAGGGGAAAACACCGTACTTTTGTACTTTATGTACTTTACGTACTTCAATATATTTTATTGTACTTTAATATACTTTAAACTACTTTAATGTACTTTGAAATATTTTAATGTACTTTAATGTACTTCGAAGTAGTTTAATGTGGGTGTGCGTGTGGGTGCGGGTTTGGGTGTGGGTGTAAGTGTCGGTGTGGGTGTGGGTGTAGATCTTCTCTTCACCCACCCACGCCCACACCAACACCCACACCCACACCCACACCCACACCCACACCCACCCTCATCTCGTTCAATTCAAATTGGCCGCAAATATTGTTCTTTTTCTGTCTCAATGTGTGTTCATACAAGAGTCGACCGCATGAATAACTATTGTTCTACTCTTGTGACATAAAATCAATGACTATTGTAATGCAGAACATGGACGGTTATTTTTGTTTTTTTTCTATTAATGAAAGTAAGCGGGAGAAGCATTGAGTCCCGTCTATCTCGCATCCCGTAACCTTTTGACATGTATCCCGTCCCGTCCCGCCCTACTTCTATTTTTCTTGTCCCGTCCCGGGACGGGACAGGATTGGACCCGTGTCTCGCCGGTCTCTGATCTAGATTCAAGTGTCAGCTTCACGATTTTTCTTAGTGCTTGAGTTGGAAGATTCGAGAATTTTTTATGTGTTGTACATATAAAATGAGAAGGTGTATTAAAATATTTTGTATCTCATAGCCAGCTCAACTTGAATTACTGCTGTTGCTATCGAGCCATGTTTTGGTCTCTTCTAATGAAGATGACTCTTCTCCGGACTTTGAAAACCAGATACCTTTCTCATATTCAGCCAATTGATCAAGAAAATTAGAATTTGGTTGAGTTATAAACCGTAAATATTTCACATGCTGATACGACTTTAATAGTGATAGTCCTTGTGAATCCATAAGATATGCAATGACAATTGACGGCGATTGACTCTTACCCTCAATGCAATGCACAAGAATTTTTCCTCCTTCTTCTCGGGCACTGTAAATGAATTTGAGATCGACATCGATATGACAGAGAAGCGATCCTTTTTTATCAAGCCGATCTTTCAAATTTTAATTTGCATACCTATCAAGAAGAACGTCTCTTTCAAAATGCAGAAATACTTTTCTATCATCATCAAACTACAACTTACTTAAAGAATTGAGGATAAAGAGTCTTGAATGTCGAGCCAGTACAATTCAAAATGTGGGTTATACCCAACTTTTGAAGTTCTCTCTTACTGGATGCACTACGACAGCTGCCAAAATAAAGAAAATCGGGTATGATACAGTGAGTGAGATCAGCGTTGAATGGATCGATAGCAGGATTCTCGACTTTCTCCGATGCCATGACTTCACGCGATGGTATTCTACAGCTAAAGTATACAGAATACGATGGAACTTACAAAGAAGAATTTCCAACCGGATAAAACAATTTTTAAATAGATTATAGTTACGAGAATAAATCGTCGTTGCTATCTCTGACATTACATTACTGAGTTAATCTGTCTCAATGATATTTAGAATTTGATAGAATTCCTATAGATATCGCCGATATAAAAAGGAATAACTCGAAATGAGCATGAAATTTACAGAACTATTTTTCACTGTATTTTGTCGATAATCACAGTGCAAATCAGGTATCAGTGTGAAGTTCCGTTTTTGTTCAATTATTCTAAGTCTCACGATCAAATTTTCATCACTTAAACTGGAATGTAATTTGATAAAAAATTGAACATCTACGACATAGTATTAGATTTCAAACGAACGAAAATAGCTAAGCGAGTTTTCTGTTGGACTTTTTCGAATATTGCAAAATGATTCAATTTCCACAGACACGACCTCATCAATGCGCTCGAATGAAACGTTTCTTTCGATAGAAACTCTTGAAAATATAGTGTTATGTGAACTTATCTCTTAATCAAACCAATCATAGACCTATTGCCCAGGCAGACAACAAAACGGCAAAAACGGCGTTTAAACGTCTCAACATCTCAATTGTTTAAGCAGTGTCATTAGTCGCCAAAAAACGCGTTAAAACGGTTTATGAAAAATTAACTTTTAACATGTTTTACATGTTTAAACGCTTGGAGTCATTGAATTTGTAACTGTTTTAACGCGTTTTTGGCGACTAATGACACTGTTTAAATAGTTGAAATAATTTCCCTTGTCACGCCTCTTAATGATCAACAAACGTTTCATCTAAACGATGAAGTACCAGTAATTTATAACTAAATTTTCTTCTCATTGATAAACTGATCGATTATATTCAAATTATCATTAGATTAATGTTAAATTGACTTATGTTTATAGTTTATACTTTGAAAACAGTGCAGAGAATTTCTCTCTCGTCAGTTCGTTTCTTTTTATGTTAAGAGTAAGTTTATATTTTACTATTTACTTATTGGTATTTTTTTCTTTTTGTTTTTTTCAATAATGAAAAGAAAGATAAAACGTAGGTTTAATCGAACAGCATTAACACGTTGTCATACCATTCCACTATTAGAAAAAAAACAAAAAGAAAAAAATACCAACAAGTAAATAGTAAAATATAAACTTACTCTTAACATAAAAAGAAACGAACTGACGAGAGATAAATTCTCTGCACTGTTTTCAAAGTATAAACTATAAACATATGTCAATTTAACATTAATCTAACGGTAACTTGAATATAATCGATCAGTTTATCAACGAGAAGAAAACTAAATTATTTCCATTCATGCTTCAAATAAATGACGGATAGATTTAATATAGTACGACTAACACAGGAATTGATGAAAAGGCAAAGAACGGACTATCTAACCAGCTTCTAATATTAGGAAAACTACAATCGGAACTACTATGGTAGACAGATGTTCTTTTCAAGTAGCATTAATAAATTTAACTTCATTTCGATCAAATTCTAAAATATCAAAGTACGGAGATATGATATAACTAGAAATGTCATCAACGCACTACGAAATCTCATAATTATAGTATG